AAATGGTAGTGTTCCAATTTCTTCAGGCGTGTCATGGACACGGTCTGTGCCGATAAAGACCACATTAAGATAATTTGAGTTCCGTTTAAAATTCGAAATTATCGACAACACGATAGCGTGTGTTGGTTCTTCCTAGACGAACGGCGCTGCACGAGCAAATATGCTCTCCGGATTTTGTCCAACGCTGTCTAGTTCAACACACAACCCGCGTGACGCCGTCTCATTTCATTCTGTGGCGTGCTGGATCAGAAACCAATGCCTGATGGGTAATCTTGACCGTAATTGCATAACACCGTTTGGAAACGATTGCCTAAGAACTGTGAGGTTGTTATCAGAAGGTCTATGGTTAACCAGAACCCACATGCAAGGTTGCACAACATGGTGGGAGGAGGAGCGCTTCTGTTTGTTCCAAACAACCCATCTATTATCTGCAGCTGTCGGGAATTTGGGCATGAAAATGTTGCGAAATGGTCAGATTTTCTCTGAGAATAGAACGCAATTGTACAGCAGAGAACGGAGGGGAACCAGATGAAACGTTTTCCTTTTCACCTACTGGTTTGTTCGGGTCGAGGTTGCTTGACCATGCGTGCCCCCTTTCTATTGATCATCAACCCGTAAGACAAACATGACCCTGTGACAAACAAAACTGCTCCTGCCTCAACAACACTTCTGGTAAGGGAGCGATTTAGGACACCGACGTTAATCATTCACCAGAGAAGTGGAAATGCTCCGACATTAAATATGAGAATGGAGAGTGAAAAAAAGCACCTAAATGAATATTGGCTCGTACGCACAGTCTAGGATACCAGCACCACCTGCATGTCTTGCTGTCCTGCTTCTGCGCAACACAGTGAAAACAGGCCAGGACAATTTCTCACCAAAGGCAGCGTGTTACATCATTTCTTCTGTTCTTTGTTTTCGTCCCCCCCCCCTCCCCACGATAAGCCGCCGAGCCAGCCACTCATAAACCTGACAGATCAAGGGCCCAGCAGTGTGAAATGTGTCGGCCATTTTGGCTCCGTTGGAGCTGGTGGCACGCAGAGCGACTGCTCATTAGAAGGCAAGTGTGACAGAGCCTCTATCCCCCCCCCTCCACCAGACGGGTTCAGCTTCGTCACCCAAAACAGAGAATAGGGGGGGCGAGAGTGAGAGAGAGAGAGCAAGGAGGCAGATGGCGGCGAAAGAAAGAAGTGGAAGGCTGAAGGGAGAGTGAAAGTGAAATGAGGAGAGAGATAGCGAGCGAGAGAGGGGGGGGGGGGGGGGGCTTGAGAGAGAGAGGAAACGTGCCGGCGGATATCATTAAGGTCGGGCACAGGGCTGTTTAACGAGCGAGCGCACAGCACACCTTCATCCTCAGTGGCGCCTCCTGGCTGGAGGCCCCCAGGTTCTGGACCCCCCCCCCCCCCCTAGTAAGGGCGGCCTGCCGAACGTAGGTGGGAGCTTATAGGGTGGAGATTTATTTTCTCCCACCACCTGTGGAGCAACCAGCACATTTGCACAGACACATGCACGGGCTTTAAAAAAAACTAACAACTAAGAAACATTCACTCACACAGCCTGAGGGAAGACAGGTTTACCGCATGCGCTCTCCCTCTGGGTTTTTTCTCTCACCAGACAGAGGTATAATTGACTCTGCCTGACACATAAACATAGTGGTAATAACCCCGGCCTTCCCTTCATGTTGAGCGGTGCTGGGAGAAAAAGTCACCGGGCAGCGGGTGGGCGTCTGCCGGCCCGTAGCATCCCCGCCGTCGCCTGCTCGGCTGCGTGACCGCACTGCCGCCGTGGGGGGCCGAACCAGAAGACATTTTTAAGAAGAGGCATTTCTAATTTCAATTTACTAGTTAAAGGAGGGGAGAGATATTAGAATCACGAGGCGGAGAGGTTACGTGATTGTTTCAACAGTGAGAGGCAAAAAAAACAAAAGAGCAGGAAATTATTGAAGGAATAAAAACTACGTTATCTCTAGACTATGCACCACAGGAGAGGCAAACACATATCTAGCTATACAAAAATGTGACACCTAGTTTAATTGGTTGCTCTCGTTCTCTCTCCCGATTAAGCTGTATGCTATCTGCCATTGCCATGAAGCAATGTGCTGTAATAGAATATGATCTGAAAAGGAACGATTGTCTCGATTCTTCTAGTTAACAACAAACCACACAAAAAGACCCAAACCAACAAAGAAATGATCCTACTAATAAGTATCGTCTGTGTATGCAGCCCTTGATGTTCCTCTTAAAAACGATTATAAACACATCAGTGAGCCACACTTTGCACCGGCTCACATGTTCCTTGGCATTGTTTATCTTGATTTACTTCAAATTATTAATTATTTACACCTGTTTGGTCAAAGCTACGGTGTCTAGCTGCCTAGAAAATTGCTTCTTTAAAAAAAAAAAAAATGAAACAGCCATTTATTTTTTCAGAATTAGATCTTCAGTAAGAATCAATTGACTTGGGGCCGAATGCCAAAAACAGGATAGTTGGAAAGTATTGAAAGACGGAGTATTTTTGTTTTGTTTTGATCTTTTCATCAACTGTGCAGCAGAATAAAAACAACTTGTCTGTCTTAACATCCATTGTAATAACATCCATGGTCTGCTGGCAAAACTCAGTCTCCTGCTAAATAGAAACCCCTTTTTATTGTCATATACATATACACATACACGAAATTTGACCTCTGCATTTGACCCATCCCTGTATATAGGGAGCAGTGGGCTGCCAATGACAGGCGCCGGGGAGCCGGGGGTTCAGTGTCTTGTTCAGGACACTCCGACACGTGGCACGTCCCAGTCGAGGATCGAACCGTTGACCCTGCGACAACCCTCTTAAGCCAGTGAGCCATGGTCGCCCCCGATCGCCTGAATCATGTTTCAATACAACTCAACTGCATTCTCATTTACGTTACAAAAGATATATGTCTCCTGGACTACGATTGCAGATTTAAACACACAAGGTTTACTTCGTAAAATGAAGCAAAATAAAACTAAAATGACTTGGTTATGCGTAGGGAATAAAGCTATTTGGTAAGTTTTGTAAAACATTTTGGTTTCGCTTAAAATAAGTTTGTTATGTACGTAAATTAAACTAAGGGAAAGTTGACCTTTGGTTTCACATGGGACACGAACAACGGTCTGCTGGGTGAAAGTCCTGTGTTTGTTTGAAGCATCCGTCCACCTCAACCTCCTCCTTGCACAGACTTCTGTGAACTATTCGTAGAAACGTATCACAAACGTACATAAATGTCAAAAACAAACAAAAGAGTGACAATGCAGTTTCGCTGGGAACGTAACTTTTAGGAGACCAGGCTGGCCGACTGTACACCTGGACAGAGTGTTGGACAAGACGTTTGTCAAAGTTTCTAACATTTTGGATGTTGTCCTCCACATTACATCAAATGCATGCACCCACCAGCTTTAGTATTCTGAACGGAGTCCTCCTGTCCCCGACGAGATTCAAAACGCGTAAAACCATACAAGGGATTCACAGGAAATGATGCATGCATGCTCCCTTCACAATTTGAATCCCACCAGGGAAAGGAGGACTCCACCAACAGCAAAGAAAAGTAGAGAGGCAATTACAGAGTGAAAAATGGCTATTTGACTGAAAACATACCAGACACAAATAGTAACAAACAGGGATTTGATATAAAAGTAAACTTCCAAAAGAGGTTTACTCAGTTTTAAGGTTTTAGGTTTAGGAAAACATTGTGGTTTGGGTTAAAATAAGTTAAGTTTGTTATGTAAAACAAGTGCGTTTGTTACGTAACTGGCATTAGTTAAGTTTGTTAAGTAATGTAACAAAATGATGGGAAAGTATCTATAAATAACAGTTGCTTTGACCGTCTAATAATGACACGGATGGGTTTACATTGGAGTTAGTTGAAAGCTTGGTGTGACTCTAAAAGGGGCCTCTGTGCTTCAGTATCGGATGCCTAGAGGCACTGACCAAGCAGTGTTATGTGACAAGTTGGGAGTAAGACCGTAATATTATCTTCTGGTTTGTCTCTACAATCCTTTCGCATTACACATCGTCATTTGACCCCATGTTTATGTAAAAATATTGATTTATGCAGCTTAAAGGGCTGTTCACATTGCGTCTAAAAATGGGTATTCCTGCAATAAAGTCATTAACTTCTCTGTCATGTATTTACCGTAGACGGATATTCATGGTAGCATCTACCAGCTTTTATTGGTTTTTCCTCGTCACGCAGCGCGTGCATTGCAACTTTTAAACAGTTGAACCTCCCGTGCGTCTACATTGACAACAGTGGCCTTGGGGGCGAAAGAAACACAACATGTGAACGACCCCCCTTGAGGTATGAGCATTACGTTCGGAGAAAGCCGAACTGAAAGTAGACATTTCTAGATGGAACCTTCCTATTTTTTCGGACCAATTATTTCTCACCGCACGCTGCTGCTGTCCAATGGATTTTACAGCCTTCTGGAGTGACCTGAAAAAGACCTCTTGCACTTTAAAAGGTTGCCAAAGTAAATCAGTGCAACGGAAGCGCGCATTATCCTCTGCAGTTCAGAACGCTGGTCGTTGCAAAGCTGGCAAGATAAAACCCCTCCATAAAAAAAAAAAAAAAGTGGTTGTTGGAGATGAGAGTAATAGCCGGGGCGGCACAGAGCGGGGACCGGGAGTTCACGACCGAATGGGTGTCAGCTCGATCTGAAACTGAATCAACACACAGCGAAGGCTGATAAGAAGGCTTAACCCCCTCAGCTGGTGAAGAGACTCTCCTGATGCCCACTTCTGCAAGGCTAACGGGCCCATTGACGCTTCCACTCGCAGACACCGACGACAGACACACACACATACACACATACACACACACACACACACACACACACACACAAAGAGCCCACCGAGATCAGGGGGATCGTCCCTCGCCCCAAAATAAGCAACATCAATCGCTTTTGAAAGGTTTTCACACCAGTCATACTGACAGGAGCAGCGAGAGCAGGATGAAGCAGGAGACAGAGAGAGGAGATGTAGGGAGGGGGGGATATAGATGAAAGACAACACAAGGACGAAAAACAAAAGATCAAAAACAAAAGAAAAAGAAGTCGAATAAAAGTGGGAAAATGAAAAGCGGGAGAATAGAACAAGGGGAGGGGGGGGATAAGGGAGAGGGGGGCAAAGCATAAATAAAACTGTTTTGACGCAAACCACTAGTTGAAAACAACACGTACCGAGAAATCAAACGAGATAAGAGACGGGGAGAGACGAGCAGAGCATGAGAAAGAGAAACTTTTCTTTGTCGCGGCGGCAAAGCTTAAGCACTGAAGGCAGCCTCCTCGCTCCTTCTCTCCAGAACATGAAGGAAACAGACGTGTCAACCCTCACTGCTCAATGTAGAATATAAACACACACACACACACACGGTGACAAACATTCACGGTGTGTGTGTGTGTGTGGCCAGAGCCCTCCTTAACTGAGTACAAGTGCTCCTCCTGACACTCCAAAGGGGCTCAGCGTGTGCGCGGCCTAAGATGTTTAATTCATGCAGCCGCCTGCTTCGCGCTCCACGTGAACGCGTGACGGAGGAGGATGGAGCGTCGCGCGCAACAGCCGGGGCCGAGGATGAGGCTGAAACGCACACACAGGAGAGGGAGGGCCAATGAAAAAAGCCAATGAATGAAGAAGAGGAGGAGGAGGAGAGAAAAAAAAGTGATGTATCCACGGCGACAGAGAAAACACGGTTACAGAAATAGACGCAGCGGAAAAAGTGTGAGGCGATAAAATGATAGCAGGAGGGAGGAAGAAAAAACAGGTGAGAGAGATGCTGGCTCACGCGGAATAGGTGATGGATTTAAGTAGAGCAGCGAAAGTTAAAAGAAAGAAAAGAGAGACGGGGGGATTTTGCAGACATATAGAAGAAAAAAAACAAAAAAAACTGTGGAGATCTCATGCAGGCAGGCGGTAAGAACCCAGAGTGCTGAGGGTGTGTGTTGCAGGTATCAGGAGAGGCAGGCAGGGGACTGAGTGCTAGCGATTTTCTGTCATATCTCTCTTTCTCTTCATCCCTCACGCCTGTTATCCTCCTCCTCCTCCTCCTCACTCACCCAACCCTGCAGCACATGTAGCAGAGGTACCGCAGTGTGTGTGGCATCAGTTTCGTTGTTGGATTTAAACGTGATACTTTTTGGTGCGATTAGTTTCTGAAAATCAAGACCGCGTCTCTCACGCAACCCGTTCCCTCGTGTCATAACAAGAAGATGGTGTCTCCGTTATTGCAAAAAACATATAAATACTTTTGAGTCTGTTTTTTTTCCCCAAGGAGAGAACAAGCTGATTTTCACACTATATAAAGCATATCAAAGTTTTATCGAATGGCTTAACTAACTGCTATGAATAATTAATTAAAAGGTGCCCAATACGGAATTCAGAGCAATTCTATTGCTGCCGCAGGGCTCTCAAACATGGAGACGGCTGAGTTGGCGGCTTGCAGCAAACGGCGCCAACAGTGCCGACAGAGATAACAGTGTCTACAGTGTTCACATTCCTCACCCAATCACAATCCTCAGATCGTTTTACACATTTAAGAATCTGATTACGCACGCACAGATTAAGATACAGCTCTCCACACACTTTTGCAAACAGTTTTGCTACAATAGTGGCCCCATAAGAGTGGTATCCACTTTCTTAAGAAAGCAAATAAGAGTATTTTCTCAAATTCTCAATGGTTCCTTTAACATCATTTCACTTAACTTGAAGGTTTATTTGCCTCTGCAGATGCTATTAAAAACACAACGGAGGTGATAACGTGCAAATGCTGTGGCTACTGCTGATGTCTGTGAGAAAAAATAGAAAACAACATTTCAACCTCTGGCCGCGCTCACTACGCATACTCACAGTCACTCCCAGTTGTGATCCACAGCATCTCCTGCAGGGTCTAGAGGCCCAAAATGCAACGTCGCACCTCTCCAAGCCACAACATCTGCCACATCTGTCAGGTAATCTGTTTTTGCAGTCTACAGCATGCATGAGCTTGAGTAGACACACACACACACACACACACACACACACACACATACACACACAGCCGGAGCGAACAGATTTAGAAAGAGTAACATCACGGTTGGCCAATTACACGTAGAATAAACGGAGAACACCTTATACATGAAGATTAATCTGTTTATTATACATACTCATGATGTCAATATCGTCATTAATATCCATCATTAGGCACCTTATACAGTATGTGGATAGATTGGGAGTAGAGACTTGGTCTGCATGCCTGTTGGTTACATAAAACATGAATCGGAACATGCTGTCAACGCGGCAGAGAGAAAAAAAGAATCTTCTGTTTGGATTGTGCGTTGAGGAGTTGTCTACATGTTTGCTACTCCACTTGTTTACATAATGTGAAACCGGTTTTTACTGCTAATTTATTGAGGAATATGTAGTGGCGTCGTGTGCGCAAGTCTGGGTCTGTGTGCGTTTTAACGTGCGTGCCAGCATGTGTGAAAGTCGTTGTGCAATAACGTTGTGTGAGGTTCGTTGTGGCGGTCCCTTGTGTAACTGTGTACCAGCGTCTGGGAGTGCGTGCCAAACCTCTTACAGGTACTGTGGGCTGAGCCAGTTCAGGCAAGTCCACGGACAACTTGGCATAGTTGCCAGATCTGGAGCTGGTTATACCTGGATATCAGAGCCAGAACCACCCCCCCCTCCCCCACCGTTGCATGAGTGGAGCAGGAGCACACACCGGAGAGTAACGACAAGGAATCAATATTTGAATGCATACACCCAGGGTTAAACACACTGCTACATTTGTTATGTGGTGGACAGCCTGCAAGCAAATCCAGAAGTTTAGACCGCCTGCGTGATGTTTGTGGAAATTTATTTCAAAGACGATTTGGGAGAATATATTTTGACACAAATGCTTTCAATAATCCTTTACAGCCACATTGGAATGGGTGGTAAGAGCAAAAACACAGTGCTTTCTTTACAGGGCCACGCAATCAAAAGTATGATGAAATTCAATGCAAGTGGTTGATATGCTGTAAGATCACAAAAAAAAAAAGTCAGCCTTGTGTTCCCCCCGACAGATTATGGGAATGCACGGACCTTGGTTTTGTCAGGCCCGTATGTGCAAATGTGAAGGCGTCTTACTGTATCCGAGCAAAACTTAGTTAGTTTGACATTTGTTTTTTCCGTCTTGCCACGATTTAAGATGAGGAGATCCATGTCAATCTCATGTCTGTGTGCTAAATGAAGCTACAGTCAGCAGCCAGTTAGTTTAGCTTAGCATAGCATAAAATCTGGAAACAGGGACATAACTACTTTAGACTCTTGTCTAAAGCTGCGGAAATGTATCTTCCACCGTTAGCGGTTTGTGTACAGATAAACAGCTCTAGATGTGGCTTTGGACTATAGATTGAATAAAACATAGACATAGTCTCCGTGACGTCACCCATAGGTTTCCGAAGAGCCAAAGTGAAGCTTATTGTGTGTCCAGATGTGGCCATCTAACATGTGAAGTTGGGTATTTTTTACAAGGGGGGGTCTCTGGGGATTTCCTCCGTCATGGAGCCAGCATCGAGTGGCCATTTAATAATGGATCTGCAGTTTTTGGCTTCTCTGCGTTGGCTTAATTTCTCCGCACCTGATGTAGCCGCTTGCTTTGGACACAAACAGTTTGTACGTTAGGCTAACTGACTTCAGAATGTAGGTTAATATTTAATGGACGAGTGGTGTTGATCACGTCATCTAACTCGTGGTAAGGAAGCGAATAAGCAGACGATAACTTTTGCTTGATTATTGTGAGATACATTTGAACCTGATTTGTCAGGGGTCACCAAAAAAACCCCCGAACTTCACAAATGACAATTAGACAAATAAGATGTTACTCTTCTTCATTAGTGAGCTTTAAAGGTGCTGGTGTTGCCTTTGGACGGAGTAAGGCTAGCTGTTTCCAGTCTTTATGCTAAGCTAAGCTAATGGATCGCGCTGACGGTAGCTTCATACACAGACATGAGAGTGAACCCAATGTTCTCATCTCAAAGAATAAGTGCATCTCCCAACATGTCTAACTCTTACTTTAATGACAATAAGAGGTGACATTGAATATTTTAAACAATATCATCATCATCATCATTTAATTCATTATATTGATGAAAATAGTTATATCACAAAATCATGGGATCTTATCAAGCTCGCCAACCTTTTACCACTGCTCACCATCTCTCCCAGTTCACATATTGACAGTGGAGGAATTCCAAACTTAACGGAAGCTTCAGCACCCCCCCCCCCCCCCCGGTGGCCTTGACAGGCATGGACACGGCATCTCCGCTCGACCGTGAAATAGCCACTTGTGTTTTAGCCCGAACAACTCCATTCCTATGTGACTGTCGGCATGCACGCACACACACGCGCACACACACACACACACACACACACACACACACACACGCTCCTTGAGGCTTTTGTAGTCCTGGAGGACCGACTGCATGTCCCGAAGAGTTGATCAATAATATTCAATCTGCTCACAGGGTCTTGGCCGCATTAGGCTACAGCTGCTATCCAAACAATGGATGGCTGGACACAGAGGGACTCCTGTACAAATAGAATCCCATTAAAGCGCAATGGCTCTCTGGGGCAGACGCTGCCCCCCCTCCACAACCCACACCCTGAACCGCAGCAGCTATTTTATGCACCTCTGATTGACAGCTCCAGTCCAGGAAGGGAAAGATGTTGTTACCATGACAACAGCTCATGCTACGCCGGCGTGGATGCGAGCTTTTTGCTAAATATCGCTCCAGTACACTGAAACCAGCATCTGATATTGAGAGGTCAGGATTTGATAGAATGCCTTTACACTCACACACATGGTGAAGAAGATGGTCCGAGTAACAGCTGTTTGGTTTAGTGACAGACACCTGTGCTTTTTCTTTAAGTGCAGTCAAAAACACCTAGAATATCAACAGTGAGAGGCCATTATTCACATCGACAGCAGAGATTTCTGGGTTTCCCCATCACAGATGAATACAATATCTTCCTAATAGACTGACAGACAACATTTCCATGATGAGCATTTGTTCACAGCACGTCTCCTTTTCTACACTATTTCCCCCCCCAATACATCTCATCTGAAAATAGTTTCAAGCCGCGAGATGGGAGAACAGACAAAGCAATAAAAGAGTCGGCGATACAGAGGGCAGGATATGAGAAAGTTATCTGTGATGTCTTGTTGTCTTCCTCTCCTCTCCTCATTGGCCGTAAAGAGTTCCAAGTCGAAGCGTCTCTATTGCTTTACGGAGCCCTTTTTGCTCTTCCTGCTCCTTTTGTTTTTCTTTTTTTCAGTCAGCCACTCCTTCTCCCTTCTTTCCCGGTTCACCTACACAGTACGTTTAGGGACACGGAGGGAATTTCCTTAGCGCAGTTTATCCCCCCTGCCCCGCCCCGCCCCGCCCTCCCCTAAGGTTCCGCTCCATCTCCTTCAGATTGCTTTTCACAGCGACGTCGCTCATTTCGGAGGGAGCCGACTTAACCGCGCTTAATGCGACGCCGGGTTCCGTGTTCACCCCCCCCCGAAGAACTCTCGGCTGTTTCCACAGTGAAGTTCTCTCAACGCTTACTGTCTAACCTAACAGGGTGATCCGCAATATGGAGAGGGCGAAGAGCGAGGACAGCATACGGACACTTCACCGGACGTTCACGGGGCGAGCTACGCACAGGATGAGAGCACAAAACACACACGCGTGGCTGCGGGGTAAAATGCGTCGCCCCTTTTGTGGTTGTGGCGGGAGATAAAGATGGAGATTAAAGGAAGGAGTTGGGGCAATATCTGATGGGTTGCAGTTATGTTGCCACTACTGGAAGTCTAATAGGGCAGAGCTCACAGCAAGAGCACGTACGGTTAGAACTGAGGCGCTAGGATGAAGGAGCTAACATGCCACAAACAGACCAAGAGATCGCGTCTGGACGAAGAAGTGGGTTATAGATGTCGGTTTTTACTGCGAGGGTTAGGTTTCCCCGAAAAGCAAATCAGCACACGGACTAGCGTCCAATCCCAAGGCGATGGTGCGGAGATCATCCGTGCGTTTGAATGCTTTTAGGAAACCCAGCCAAAGCGAGTGATGAATTCTGGGTAGGTTAAGGGGAGGGGGCTTTTAGGCGCGGATCTTGAGGGAGAGGAGAGCGAAGTGGTTCTGAGAGGTGCGTAGGAGGCGTAGCGTGAGAGGTCTGGTGGCGGCCCGGCTTCAAAAGGGTCCGAAATGACTGAAGATGGGCGGCTGTAATGGAAACTATTGGGCGGATTCCAGGAAGCTCTGAGGGATTGTTTGGACTGGGAGGGAAACTGCGAGTCAGAACTCGTGAGAGCTTTCTCAGGAGTGGCTGGGAAATTTTTTTCTTTTCTTTTCTCAGATCGGACGAGGAGGGAGACCAAAGGTGTGAGACGGACAGCTGAGATTGTTCCACGTTCGGGGGGATCACATATTGGGGGTGGATGTTGGCAAGGCTGGTGGGCGGTTGGCATCCTCCTCCTTCGGGCTATGGTGAAGATGGACTGCACTCCAGAGAGGCTGCAGGAAAAGACAGAAAAAAAGAGAGAAAATGAATGAGAGACAATAACAGAGGAAAGAGCTCTGTGGGTGCGAAACGGAGAGAAACAACGCCTCCGTTGGAAAGAGGAAGAAGTCGAGAAAAATCTGAAATGGCAAGAAAAAGAACAATAAGGCGAAGGCAGAAGCAGCAAAAAGAGAAACAATGACGACCATCACAGCGAGTGGGACGGGGTGGGGTGGGGGTGTGGTGGGGGCAAAGCCGAGTGACGTAGATGAGAGAGGAAATTAAGAAGTTGAGATCAAACAGGAAAAAGAAAGAGAAAGGGCCGAGATAACAAGCCACGGGCACAGTGAGGCATGAAAATGGATCAGGGGGATGGAATTAGAAAAAGAAGAAGAGAGAGGGCAGAGATAAGAGAGACAGGATAAAAGAGAGTAAGAGAGAGAGAGGGGGGGACAAATAAAAAGGGAGGGGACATAATTATAAAAATGGCACGAGAAAATCAATGCAGTGAGCATCATTGTGCTCGCAGGCACCGTACAAAGGGAGGCGGAGAGCAGCGGTGTGTCCATCAAATGGATACACACGTCAGTGTCACACACACACACACACACACACACAGAGAGAGGCATTTCAAATGCAGAGTGACGACACGGTGACATTTAGAGCTCAGTCGGAGCATGTGATGACAAGGCACAAAGATACATGCCAGCCCCGACTCCGACAACAGCTTGTGTGTGTGTGTGTGTGTGTGTGTGTGTGTGTGTGTGTGTGTGTGTGTGTGTGTGTGTGTGGATGCAGATCTCGGTGGAAGGACACCGATTAGTGGGTTTATATATTATTCTATTCAACTGCGGGAGGTGAAGGTGAGGGCAGAGAGCCGACGCAGAGCTGAGAATTAGTGTTAGGTTTTTTGAAATGTGGAGAAGGGTGAGGATGAACGTTTTTGAAGTGGTGGAAGTGTTCCGATCCTTCACTTAAGTAAAAGCATCAATACCAGGATGTAGAAATAACAAAAGTCCTACATTTTAAATAGTTCCTCAAGCGGCCCTTTTGAGGAAATGCAGTGCTGGACCGCGTTCGCCGTTAGCTTCTTTTTTTCACAGCCCTGGAGGTCGCCACGTGGTTAAAGTTTATGGGAAAGATCGTAGTTTAGGTTGAAATTACTACTTCGCTGAGTTTAGGGGAGCTTTGTCGTCATGGTTACGATATTATGATACACATGCAGTTGAGGTTCAGAAACGATGGCCGTCACACACACAGAAAAAGATCGCTCTCTGTGTTGGATGTACTGAAGAGACCCACTCATCACACCTGACCTGTGGTTTTGGGGCACTTTCTAACTAACAGATTTGAAATGTAGTGGAGTAGAAGTATAAAGTATAAAACAGGAATACTCAAGCACCATAAATAAAAAAATAAAAATCATCGTGATTCCTGAAGCACTTTGGCTTGGCTTTCATTACATACACACACACACACACACAGTCACGCACATTTACCCAACCACGTGGTAATCATCATCATTATTGACAAACACTGCGACGCGTCAACCTATTTCTGCTCAAAGGCGTGTAAACACCATGTCACAGCCCCCCTCCCCCCTTCACCCCACCTCCCCAACACACACACACACACACACACACACACACACACAGTTAACAAGGAGCGAGTGTTAGTGCCAGGGCTTATCAGTGCAGCGGGACCACACACACAACACAAAAGGCTGAAATTCATTACAGTCGTAGGAGGGCCTTGACAAGCTGTCAGCGTGTTCGAAAGATTCTTCAAATCCCCCCCCGCGCTCGGTCTCCAGAGAATGGTGAGAATACTGGGAGCTCGGCTATCTGCTTCCGCACGCACGCACGCGCACACACACACACAGAGAGGAATGTCTCCTGGTTCACATCTTAATTTCAAGTATAGTTTGCATTGTCACACGCAAACGGCTACATTTAAGGCATCTTACAAACACAGAAAACTCCATTCTGAATCTCAATTTCATGGGTAGTTTACACCGAGTCTCTCCATCACACACCCACACACACACACACACACACACACAATTACCGTACTGCTGAACTGAAAGGAGGCCTAGAGGTTCAGTTCAATGACACACTCTGTATTTCCAATTTATGTCGGCATCACTACGCTTCTCTCGGCTGCCACCACACACACACACACACACACACACACGCCCTGCACATTAATATAAAGGATAGTTTGCTGTTATGGCTGTGGTTACATGGTGGGGTGGGGGGGGTGGGGGGGGGGCTGACATCCTCAGATGATCAAGGACATTATTGTTGCCATAAAACCATGCAAAACAATAAAAGCATGGATGCTTTCACAACCTTTATGCGAACATATTTCCCAATCTAGTTGAACAGTTGAGTAGCGGTGTTACAGAAAACAAAAAAACAAAACTGAATATCATCATCCTTCAGTCTTCAAGGGCAGAAAATGGCAAATTACTCTGAAAAATCTTTTCTTTAACATAATCACTATAATCGGCCAGACCTAAATTAAACAGACCAGCGTGTGAATGCCTCCCTGACATGAGAGTGGAGTGTGTGTGTCTGTGTGTTCCAGCATCTGCCAGAAAATTACAATTTCAGCATGTTTTTGTGGTGTGTAATTGCACGAGTGTGTGTGTGTGTGTGTGAATGAGAGGCAGAGAACACTCGGTTTGTCTCCAGTTATTAAACTAACCAATTACAAGGCCCACTCATCTCGTTCACGTCCCAAACAAAGGGAGAGTTGATCTATTATTAATGCACTTCTTCCGCAGTGTAATTCACACGCGGATTCGGTCTCATACCCATATGTTCACACATGAATGCCTGCCTGCCTGCCTGCACACACACACACACACACACACACACACACACACACACACACCTCCCTTAGCCAGCAGTGGCTCAGTCTCCTGTTCCACCGGTACGAATGATGAATGTGATTTGCCAGAATTAACAGATGAGCAGCTTTTCAGAGACGAGTAGTCTGGATCATCAAAAACTCTGCTGCCATGCTCCGCTCCTTTTAGGCGTATTAAACCCCCCCCCCCCCCTCCCATGCATTTGTAATCAGACCTGTCTGGCTTGTTTAATCAGAGCACACCTCGGCGTGCAGCCGCGATCTGCCGCCTCTCTGCTGCACGCCGACGTCTCGTAGTAGTAAAAAAAGCCTGTACAGGCTGGATCCAGGCTTTACCTGCAGGGGGATCCCCAACAGGTTGGCTGCTGAAGGACATTTAGATGTGTTTTTAAAGGACATTATATTGTTCTTATTGACAACGAACCGCTAAACCGACATGCTGCTAACAAGTATTGCTTGTGCAACCCAAACCTGGTAGGCCTTATTGCTCTGTGCCATTTGCACTTTGGTGTTCGTCGATATGATTAGTCAATCCCACAAATACTCACTATAGTCAACTAAAAGTTGTGTATTCTGTAGTTGAAAATTGTCAAACAAATGCCATATTTACTAGTTTGAGTAACTTTTGCTAAAATGACTGCGGTATTAGAGAATCAGGGCCTTTAAAAAAAATAAAAAGTACAGTTTTAATTTAATTAACGTCTTCTTTAAAAAATGTTAAATAAAAACGTTTTCCGCCCCTGATTGCAACGGACAAGGTAATGAGGTTGGAAAGTATTGTGAGATGGGCCAACACATTATAGGTTTGGGTCTTATCAGGGGATTGTCTGACAATAAGAAATATAGCTTGGATCGGATACCTTCACGTTTTGGATTAATACACGTAATAATCAAAATCCTGCCCTTCGGGGAAGTCTGGAAGATGTTGATGTTGGGAGATCTTGGTCAGTTATCAAGCCAGGATGTGTCCGGGTAAAGATCTCTCTCGTCTGTGAGGTAGCAAGTCCTTCTTTTAATAGAGTAAGAAAGTGCTACCCTGTTAACAGTGGCGTAAAAGGTACTCACAACGTACTCTCAGTGTACTCTAGTTACTAATGAAGCACACCCACACACACACACCCACACACACACACACACAATATCACATGATTAAATACAGACTCACTATCATTAATCACCACCAACAATTTCGAAACAGAATGATGAGAACGAGAAGTAACTCAGCCGACACAGCAGTTCCCAAAACTTTTTGGCTTGTGACCCTTTTAAAATGAAGCATATATCCCTCATCGCAGGTTACGGAGGACATAAAAGATAGTGAGGACATAAAAGATTGATCCCCCCCCTTCTGATATTATTTAATTTGAAGGAATGTTAAAGGCCTAAAACATAACAGCAAAAAAAAAGAAAATACATTTTTTATTTATTTTACATGAGCCTGACCGTTTGAAACAGCAATGAAGGCAAAATAATTTGAGCGCAAGTCCATCCCACAACACGAGACACAATCTCATTGGTTAAAGGTCACTTTGGTTGTCCAATCACCGTACGTTCTTGTGTAGTTCGGTAATTTGTTTTTCCTTATGACTCACACTTATTAAAGTAGTTTAAACGCGGTCTGGACTGTGACGACTTCCCGACAGACCAAAACGAAGAAAGCCACGAGGTAAACTCTCTGCACTAATAGGAGAATGCCCGTTATTGAATCAAATATTGATTTATGTTAAGTCCACCGCCTGTGTGACTCAGAGGCGTGCAGCAGCGGCAGGTACAGTCGTTAAAACTGAGGGGGCATTGAGTCCAGCCTCATCACATCCACCACAGATTTAAATTAATTGAAATTTAGGAAAGGGCCACTGATACACATATGCACACACAGACAAATAATATATATATATATTTATCTATGTGGGGTTTTGAGCCTCTGTGGTGCTCAGATAAGGTTTAGAGAGCCTCGTCTCCCATCGTGTGTTCAAAATAGGTCATCTTATTCTGCGACTCCGAGCGAGCGAGCACGCCTGCTTATTTCCTGCCCTGATTTCAACAACACAAACAACTGACGAGAAGTCCCCCCCCCCTATCTCCCTCTCTATCTCCTTAAAGCAGCGCTCCTCATCAGCGTAACCCAGTGAGATTTAGT